CACGCAGTGTGTGCAGAGGGGAGTCGGGCCCCGTGCAACAGGGGTGAAGACGGTTCTGCGGAGGTCATCTGGTGTGTAGTTAAGAGTGTGAATTATGCACTCAGGCTCACTTCAAATTCGGGCCCATTTTCTTTCTAGCCGAGTAAATTCTTTGAGCCTTAATCTCCTTTCTGTAAAAGGGAATAACTGCAGTATATTCCTTAGCGAGTCGCTCTCTTTAAAGTGCAGAGCACGGAGCGGAGAGGCCCTCGAGCGCTTTCTTTGTGCATCTGTGTCACCCCATGGACGTCAAATGGGATCTTCAACTGGATCCTACCCTGTTCTCATTTCCCATTGTCTTAACTGCTCTAAGAGTCCCAGCCTGTAAATAACCGCCTCAGAGCCAGAAATCACTGGCTAATATTTCAAACCCTAGGAAAAACTTTTTGACCTATGTTGAACGCAGGGGTTCTGAACTACAGTCGCCCGATCCTGCGTGTATCTAGAATGAGATGGAAAGCCAGCGTTCCTCCCTGGAACGGGATTTTCTCGAAGACACCATGGGTGAGCAGGCAAGCGGGACAGAGCCCTCCTTCTGTTGGTGGAGAGGCGGAGGAAGGAAGCCGGCCCTGCCGCTGGCGCCCGGGGTGCATTTGGTATCATGTTGTGCAGCGGCTCGCTCTCTCCCCTTCTCGTTTTCACTCTCCCCCCTTCCCCCTGGCGAGTTTTATAAATAGGCTTCTTCTTATCTGATCCTCCCCTAAATGTTTTTCATTTGAAAGCCACAGTTAATTTCAGATAATTGTCTGAGATAATCTCAAATTTGTGTGTAATAGAGGCCCTGGTTCTAAGAAAAACATGACATTTCTGGGAGACCTGGTTCTGGTCCCTCTTCCTCTGTCAGCGTTCCGGCCAACATCTCTGACTTCCTGCCCTTCAGGTTGCATCCTAGGCCTGCTGGCTCCCTTTTCCAGAAGCAGAGAAACTGCCTCCTCCTGGAAGGCTTCTGTCTAACCCAAGAGCTTCCCAGGCGTGACTTTAAAACTGGACGGGGGGCTCAGGGGACCGAGGGAACCCAGCAGCATTGCCTCCAGGATCAACCTTGCAAAGGCAGAGTGGCCTCCACCCTCTGAGTCTCACCAGGCCAGCCCTCTCCGATGCCCACGCAGATAACTGCAGTTGTAAATGTTGTGCAAAGGCTGCTATACAGCTCTTCTAAAGAACAAGCTGTTTCTCAGGGCCCGAACCACATTTGTCCTGGCCTGAGTTAAGAGGTAAAAAACATTCCAATTGTGAGCTTGCCTGGAAAAAATATATATTTGAAGTTTTCTGCTAACAAGGTATGCAGAGGATTCAAGTTCCAGTAAGAGAAGGTGAAAGACGGGCTGCTTGCAGAATACAGCCGTCTCCCCCCTCCTCTTTCATTTTTCCATAAAGTGCCATAAAAAGCCACTACACTAACAAACATTTTGGGAAGGGAACAGGCTCCAGGCCAAGAAGCCACAAGCTTAAATGAGGGAAATCTGAGCCTTGAGGCATGGTTTCCTGAGCAGAGTCATTACTCAAGAAAGGATCAGGCATTAACAGCACTGCCCAAACCCAACTGACTGCCACCCTGGGCTCCCCTGGGGCGTGGAGGTCAAGAGAGAGCCACCGTCCTCCACTGGAGTGGCATCTTCATCTTGACTCCGAAGTGCAATGAGAGTGCTTCTCCACCACTCAGCTTCTGTGCCTGAGACACATGCACACCCTGCTTTGTTTAAACTTTACAGAATGAATAGCAAGTCCAGTGCAATTGCAATCAAAACTCCAGCTGCATTTATTTATTTCTTTTAAATTTATTGTTGTGAAACACAGAAATATTATGCTCAAATGGATACAGAAGAGTGAAGTTCCCCAGAGAGCTAGGTCGACCACGAAAAAGAAGAATCGGGGGGAGGGGCTGACCCTACAAAATATTGACATACTACACAACTATAATAATAAAACCAGTATGGTACTGGCTCAAGAACAGAGAACAAGGAACAGAACAGGCCTATTTATAAACGAGGGCTTGAAATATGGTTAACACAGTTTATCCATCATGGGGAATGGTTAGGTTATTTGGTGGATGGTATTGAGAAACTCACCATATGGAAAACAATAAAATCTATATCCCCATGTTACACAAAGGTGGGCTCCAGATGAGTAAGGGGTTAAATGAGAGGCAAAATTAGAAGGTTAACAGAAAAAAATTCAGGGGAACATTTTTATGACTTGGAGGTGGAACGCATTTTCTCATCAAGACCCAAACTCACAAACCATAAGGGGGGGAAATGGACGGCTTTGATTATTCCAAACTCGAGGAGTTCTTATTCATAAAGGCTAGCAAAGATGAAGTTAAAAAAGTAACAAATTGAAATACAATATTTTCAATGTCCAAAACTGACTTAGAATCAATTTAGGGTACGTGAGGGATACTTGTAAGTTAACAAGGACCATAAAATCCAATAGTAAGAGGGGCAAAGGATGTGACAGGCAACTCCCGGAGGTAGAAATCGACGTGGCTGCCGCAATATGAAGAGGTGTTTAAGCTCATTAGTCATCAGAGAAATGCAAATCCAGCCTAATGAGATGCAGCTCTTTACCCATCAGATTGGCAAGGATGGGAAAGCTGGGTATTGCAAAGTGTTGGCCTGAGATGTGGGAACATTTGATCCCTCACGTACCGCTCTCGGGAGTATCGATCCGAGAAGCCACCTTAAAGAGTAATCTCATAAAATCGAGCATCCACCTACAGTAGACGCAAGTGTCACTTCTGGGAGAGCCCAAAGAATCCTCACTGGGGTCCACGAGAGAGGCTGTAAGAGGACGTCATAGAGTCGACACTGGTGGTTGTTGGACCAAGGAGGCAACCAAGGGGTCCAAGGAAATGGGGAGGTACGATGTTGGGGGGCCATCATGGAATGCTATGCATGCAGCATAGAAGAAATTAGATGGAATTATCACTTAGTAATATTCAAAGTTCTCAAAAATACGGTGCTGGGTGCAAAACAAGGCCGCAACCAGTCAGGACTGTTGGGTCACATGGCGAAGAGACAACGTGGCGGCCGGCCGTGTTCAAGTCTATTAGCAGGTAGGTGGGGCAATCGGAAGGGTCAGTCCGTGCTGATAAAAGTTTCAGGGTTGTAGTATCTGAAACTATTCGAACTGGAATGGAGGGACTGTCTGCCAGCTAATTTTCCTTCCTGTGTCCTTTCTTTCTCACTTGGAAGCCGAGTTGGGCCTTCACGAGGAGAAAACCCTACCCGTGAAGAACCACATTCCCGGCAGAGGGTCCACCTGTCCTGATGTTAGTGGAGAGGTCCAGTGTGACCCCCGCCAGCTGCTAGGTTTGCCAAAGTTAATTCTCAGCTATTTATTTATGTGGATCAGTAATTCATCACCGCCTCTCTCGACCTTCCGTGTGCAGCCTGTTACACCATTATGGGTGGAAATTCTGCTGAGGGTTTTTTCACTGTGCTTTGCCTCACAAGGTAGGAGTAAATTTCATATATGGTAGGCAGAAACCAATTTTGATTGATGGAATGAGATTTTTCTCCCTCTTCCTTTACCATGTAAACATTTTGGGGGCATATCTGTTCTATTAATGTACACTACCAAAATATTAGCGACTGACAGCCGTAGAAGGGAAGAAGGGAAATGAACAAGCCTGTCTAACATTCTTGCTCCAGGAAGCCCCAAGCCCGAGAGGAGTGATTCCATTCTGCAGGCAGGAGGTCAGGGAGTTCTCCTTCGTGTGGGAGACAGCAGGTTATTTACACTGTATTTGTGATCGGGGGTCACAGAGAGGGTCAAGGAGCTGAATTCCAAGAATGAAACAGAATCCAACTCTCTCTGAAGGAAATCCAGGGTTTGGAAAACTCCCAAGGAGCAATAATTCATCTGAACTAACCTGACGAACTGTTTTTAAAGGAGTTTGGAGAAATATAGTGAAACATTGAACAGCTTCCTAGAACAGAAACAACCGGGCAAAGGTAACCTTTTATTAGACCTTAGCAGTGCACCGGAGAACTGGTCAGAGTGTAGAGGTCAGCTCTCTCGGGAAGACATGTTTTATTATTATTTATTATTTTTAATCCTCAGCTGAGGATATGTTTTTATTGATTTTGGAAGAGAAGGGGAGAGAGAGAGGAAGAGAGAGAGAGAGAATCAGTTGCCTCCCATATGCACCCCGATCGGGGATCAAACCCAAAACCTAGGTATGCGCCCTGACTGGGAATCAACCCACAACCTTTTGGTGTATGGGGCAACTCCAACTAACTGAACCACCTGGCCAGGGTGAGGAAGACATGGTTTTATCCCTCCATTAATACGGTTTCTAGAGCAAGGCATAAGTTTTCCACTTTCTGATAATTACTTCCTCAAAGCTAAAATAGTGGGCAAGTGACTCACTGTGTTGAGTGCCTACTGTGTCCCTGTAGATCATCTAGGGCTTTTTGCTGTAATATCTCATGTAATCCTCTCACAATCTTGTAAGGAAGAGGTTATCACTCTCCATTTTTCAGAAGAAAGAGGGTCTCTGGGAGGTTAGAAAAGTTCTGAAGGTCACACGGCTTTTAAAAAGTACATGTTGATTCAACCCCGATGGCTAATTCCAAATTGAAACTTTCTTCAACCNGAAAGAGGGTCTCTGGGAGGTTAGAAAAGTTCTGAAGGTCACATGGCTTCTAAAAAGTAGATGTTGATTCAACCCCGATGGCTAATTCCAAATTGAAACTTTCTTCAACCCGTGGAGTTGTGGCCAGGTCCTTGCTTCTAAAGGCTGACAGGAAGTCTAGAGGGTCCCACGAAGTCCTGGTGAAGGACAAGTTGTCCTGTCCCCAACCATCGTCAAACAACGATGCCACTGAGGAAGCTGTGTACTGAAATGAAGCTGGGGCNATGCTTCTAAAGGCTGACAGGAAGTCTAGAGGGTCCCATGAAGTCCTGGTGAAGGACAAGTTGTCCTGTCCCCAACCATCTCAAACAACGATGCCACTGAGGAAGCTGTGTACTGAAATGAAGCTGGGGCAGAAGCAATGATAAATAGTGATGGTGAGCTTTTGTTGAGTGCTTCTTATGTGCCAAGCATTGTGACAAATGGCCTGTATGAGCCACAATCCTATGAGTTGATTATATTACTATTTCAATTTTTCCATTTGAGTTTCAACGTTAACTTTAATTGTCCAAACTCAAACACCTAGTACTTCATGGAGTAGACACTAAATTTGTCTGCCTCTCAAACCAGCATTTTTAAAAGACTACTCAAAATTGCTTTCTTAGGATACGGCAGCGTGCAGCAGGGGTAGCAATGAAAGCTACGGTGGCGGTGTTATGGTGGCAGGAGCAGTGGTGATGTTGTTCTTGGCGGTGGTGGTGATGGTGATGAAGGTGGTGGTGACGGAGGTGGCGAAAGTGACAGTGGTGGTAGGGGTGTGGGGATGTTAATGGTGGTCATGGTGTGGGTGAGGGTGGGATCATGGCGATAATGGTGGCAGTGACGGCTGTCGTGGTGGTGGTAGTGTCGACAGTATTAGCTATAACAGCAGTGACCGTTATGGTGGTGACAGTGGTGGTAATGGTGATGGCGGGAGCGATGATAGTGATGATAATACTAACGATGGAGGTAGCGGTGATCCTGTTGGTGGCGACAGAGGTGATGGTGATGATGGTGGAAGTGTGATGGGGGGAGTGATGGCAGGGATGTTATTACTGACGGAGGTGGTGGTGTCCTGTTGGTGGTAATGATGGTAACGGGGCTGCTGGTGCTGACGGTGGCAGTAACAGAAATAGTGGTGGTGGGTATAGTCCTAGTGATGGTGGTGGCTCTGACAGTGGTGATAGTCATGAGGGGGTTAGTGGTGGTTGTTACTATACCTCCTCTGGATTATTTCTGAGCGCTCTTCTGCAGAGTTTCTGGGAAACGTCTTTTATTTTCTGTGTGCCTTGAAGGGTTGATCAGCTTTTTCTCCATAAGTTGTCCTTTAATTCTTCTCCCTCTATTCACTCCCTTGCTGTTGACAAGAGCTGTAGCTGTCCAGGACCTGCTGGGGAGAGACAGACCTTGTGACTGTCTCCCCAAAGGCAGCCTTTGGCCACTCTTCACTGGAGCACATGACCCCCTGCCTCGCCCCTGGCACATTAACCAGGTGACTGCCTCCTAGGGCCCAGCCCAGTCCAAAGGGATTTGGGATTCAGTCCCAAACAAGGCACTGATTAGCTGGTAATCAGGCAGCGATTAGCAGGTCGGGTCACCTGCAGTTCAGTGCCCATTGTTCCCTGTAAAGTCCTGGGATGTTTGCCTCTCGGCCAGAGTCTGAACGTCTAAGGATCCTGATGCCTGCAGCCCTGTTGTGCACAGCTGTGATTAGGGAGGAAAAATCCTCTGTTCCCCTAAGCCCATCCCTGCCGAGGAGGCAGTGCCCTGCATCCCCTCTGTCTATCCTCACACAAAGGCTTCAGGGGGAAGGAGGGCCTCCTAAGAGCCCAGCAGTGACTGGGAGGTGAGGCCCCAAGAATACACTAAAGAGCTAGAAGCAAATTAGCACATTCCTGCTCGTGTGTGATGTTGACAGTGTGAGCAGGGGCATCTGACAGACCCAAGTCCAGATTGGGATTCTGCTACAGTCTTGATGTGTGACCTTGGACATGACATGTAACCTTGAAGCCTCGTTTACCTTAGTTGTTAAGGAGATTACTAATAACTCTTGTCTCTTTGCCTTTAAATTTAAAAACTGAATGTAAAGCAGGTAATAGAGTCTCTAGAATAGAGAAAGTGCCCAATAAGTGCCATCATCATGACCATCAGTCATAGTAGAAATAGCATCATTTTGAAATACTTTATTTAAAAAATGCCCAGTAACATCACTTCTAATCTGAGAGTAGCCCCTCTTTGTTCGCCATCATAAGAATGAGGTGAGATCATTCTTATGAAGCGTTCAACACGTGGCCTGGCACATAATTAGTATTCAATGATAGCAATAATGATATTAAGTGTCATTATTATTTGCTCAAAGATGAATGTGAAAGTATTTCTCAAAGCATATTTTCCTGCATTGGACTATATAGTCATAAAAATCTAGACAGAGCATGATTTTCAACTAGAAGGGACTTAATGAGATGGTGCATTCTGACCACTGAGTCCTGTACAGTCTTATAATCTACATGCCCACAAGCACCTGGAGATCTTGTTAAAATGCAGATTCTGATTTGGTAAGTTTGTGAGTGTTTCCTCTCCCCTCCACGGAAATGTTCCTTTTTTTTTTTGCAAAAATTTAATAATAAACATGTAAAGAAAACATTTAAAAATGCAATAAATATTATTGATATCAAAAGATCTTCCCTTTGCTTAAATCTTGTCACATGTCCAGCTTTTCCAGCACATTTTTAGCTAGGCCCACATGCCTGATGCCCTGATTTTCTCTGATAGCCACAGTAGGCTTTTTCAGGGTCTTATCCACAAGGAAATCACATTAACACACGTTCATTCTGTAGGCTTTAGCTCTCTGGGGAGCAGGTAGACCCCAGCCCAGAAAGAAAAGTTGGCCAGAGTTCTGGACCTGGAGGCATGCAAACCAGTCAGGTACAGGACGGACAGCTGGGAACTTAGAGGAGCCCAGAGGGTTCTGAAGTCTGATTCTGGCTGCATGTGGAGAGGGTATTCTAGCTAAGATGGTGGAGTGTTCTCTGGAGCAGGAAAGAGCTCAAGAAAAGCCCATCCTACAAAAGGGGTGGCTCCACTGGCCCTTCCTCTAAGGGGTAAAATGAGGGGAGGACCCTGAAATCTACGGGTAGGTGGGCATAGGACTTTTTCTTCCTTTTGAGTGTCCCCCAGGGAGAATTGGTTATTTGAGTTCAGGATCTCACCCCCATCAGACTGTTATTCTCACTGAGAGGTTGACAGAAGTTTGAACAAGCATAGAGAAGTAGAGTTGGACAGAACCTGGGCTGAATTCTGACCTTGCCACTTAATAGGCAATCTGCCTTAGACTTAAGCAGAGGCTCTGTTAGCTCCCATGGAAAACGGGAAAAGCGATGCAATGGTATGTTCAGGATTAAGAATTTTGGAGCTGAAGATCCCAGTTTCTGGTGAGGCACAAAGCAGGTTTGCGAATGCTAACACTAATAATTATGATTTTATTCAGTGTTCGCTGTCCTTTTCGCCTTAGTGTACACCTTGTATCTACCTAGAGTCCCCCC